AGCGGGAATACACTGCATTGGGTATGCAGATGACATAGTCATGATCGCTCGGGAGAAACATGAAGGCACCTTGTGTGATATTATCCAAAGAGGACTCCGTATCACTGAGAGATGGTGTAGGACTGTCGGGCTGAGTATCAACTCAGACAAAACCGCGATAGTGCCATTCACCAGAAGGCGAAGTCTGAAAAACTTGAAAAGAATCCAACTAGATGGAAAGGAAATACTGCCAACACAGGAAGTTAAATACCTGGGAATAACCCTGGACAGTAAACTCCTGTGGAACAGGCATATTAAGAACACTACCAGCAAAGCCATAAAGGCTCTCATGATATGCAGAAGACTGGCCGGAAATAGATGGGGCTGCTCCCCTAACATTTTGCGCTGGATGTATACCATGATAGTAAGACCCATGATTACTTATGGAGCAGTTGCCTGGTACACAAAACTAGAGCAACGGACGGCAAGGCTAAACCTATGCAAAGTCCAGAGACTAGCATGTGTTTGCATCACAGGAGCCATGAGAACCTGTCCAACAGCAGCAATGGAGGTCATTCTAGATCTAACACCACTGCACATTGTCATTGGTAGATATGCCAATGCGACAATGATTAGAATGGTCACTAACGGAATTAGTACTGGGAGAATTGTCAGATCAGGGCTTGGAACACCCTCAAAAAGGAAATACCACTCCTGCAACTCCCAGTGGACGATATGCCAAGAACGTACAACTTTGACAAACATGTCAATGTAGTATTGAGCAATAAGAAGGATTGGAAGAGCGAAACGCTTGCCCAGCAGTTAAAAAGACCATACCATAACTTGGTATACTGATGCTTCAAAACCAATACGGGAACAGGGATCGGAGTGTTTGGGCCGAGGCTAATTACTCCGAACCAATGGGCACTTACCTAGTATCCTACAGGCAGAAATCTACGCTATCGAGAGATGCGTACAACTTATCTTAGATAGGAACTATCGGAAACAAGAAATAGCCATCTTATCTGATAGTCAAGCAGCGTTAAAGGCGATCAACTCAGTATCAATCAATTCGAAATTGGTCAAAGAATGCATAGAGAAGCTGAATAAATTAGGCAAAGAAAACAAAGTCCTCCTACACTGGGTGCCTGCTCACCAAAGGGGATAGAAGGCAATGAAAAGCAAATAATCTAGCTAGGAAAGGAGCGAACAGTCCACTAACTGGACCAGAACCGTTCTGCTTTCCAAGTGGTAACCAACTCAAGGCGGAACTCAAGAACTTGGAAGATTCCATCCGCAACCTGGAATGGAAATCTTGCAATGGTCTAAGACACTCGAAGAAGTTTCTGAGGGCTTATGATCAAGAAAAATCACAGATCTTCCTGGGTCTGAGTGAGAACAATCTTCGGATTGTCACGGGGTTTTTAACAGGACACTGTCTCCTCAATGAACACCTCAGTAGATTGAAACTAAGAAGAAACGGCGAATGCAGATTCTGTGGGGAAGATGGTGAAACACCAGTACACCTCATCACTGAGTGCGCCGAGACGACAACCATTCGTGCCATGAATTTTGGTACGACTGATATTGGAGATGGAGAACTACCCTCTATAAAACCGTCCCAGATACTGGCTTTTGTCAAAGCCCTGGGACTGTATGATGAGTTATGATTCAAGAAAGGGGGACACAATGGATCTGTAAGGTCGAAGTGATTAACCCCCCTCCCATTCATTCTAAAAAAAAATTCTAAAATCTTAGTAAACAAAAGAACAACCAAAAACAATAAATAGAAAAACTAATAATCTAAAAATATTTCCCAAACCCTTCAACTTTAGTTTCGAGCTTTAAAACCAGAGCCTTAGTATCTGTGAACCTGCTGAACTAACAAAAACTTTGAATAAAATGAATGTGCCATATTTTGAATGTATAATAACCATGGTATGAGGACAGTTTTGGTATTATTATTGTTTCTCTTTTATTAAAGTTCAGAACAGCATAGTTGGATTCTTTGGAATAGTGATCAAGGTTTTCTCTGCCGTCGTTATAATTAAGCACCAAAGAAAGTTAGCTAATCGACTAACTATCCGTAAAACATTAGTAGATGTATAAAATGTTCATTCTAAAAAAAAAACGAAATTCAATTCAATATTATATTATATTATAATTAACTAATGTTTTGGTTTCTAAATGATACGTTTATTTCTTCAAGAAAAAAAAAACAAGTTGGTTCCTATCCTTTTATTTCCTAACGACCTCTAACTTAGTTATTTACTAAAGGTTTAGGAAAACCTAAATCTCTTAAAAGGGTTTATCCACAGCATTACTTAATTGGTTTTAACTTTCGTAAAGAAGGATCTTTACCGAAGGGTCGAGAGATCACAGGGCTTAAAAATGGACTTAAGTATATACGAGTCTATCCACAATCTGAACGAATTAATCCAGATCAATAAATAAAATACTAAATAAATTGACGAAATAAAGATATTATAAAGGAACTTTTTCATTATCTGATATAAAAGGTGGTCCGAATTGCATAAAATCCATAACATCATTTTCTTCATTTCGCAAAGCATTGCAATCTTATTTACCAGACAAGGCTTTCTACGCCGTAAATGAATTATATTTTGATAATCGAATTATATTTACTTTTTTATGTTATTTTTAGAACTTATACAATACACAAATTATAATTCCTTACACTTTTAGAATAATTAAACAATACATTTTTCGTATACTCGCTATTTAAACCCGTGTATTTGTATACAGGGTTGTTCACCACATACGACACGGAGTATTGTAGCTAAACGATGAGATTTTTACAAATTGTAAGTTTGGGGTTCGTTGAAGGACTATTAGAGCTACAATTTAAAAATATTTTTACAAGATACAGAGTGTCCCAAATAAATAAAAAATATCAAAGTTGTATTTTTTTAAATGGAACACCCTGTATATTATTACATTTTAGTTTCTACGATTAAAATAAAGGTAAATTTGATTAAGGTTTATTATACTTAAACCTTACCGTTTTTGAAATATTTTCAATTTTGTGAAATTGCAGTAAAATTTTAAAGCTTCATTTCTCCAAGGGTATCAATGTTTTTAATACTAAATATTTAATGAAGTTTATTTATTGATCAGTTATTGTGTTGCAATAATAAAAATAATACTACCTTATACAGAGTGTCTAAAAATTTATTTTAAATAATTATTAGCTTCAAACGGCAATAACTTCTTTAATTTAAATGGAATGCCCTGTATATTTTAGGAGAATCAGATGCACAATTAAATTGTCTATCAAATTGTATCATATCATTTTTTACCTATCCCTTCAAGTTTTCGTAGAAAATGCATTTTCTTATAATTTAGACCTCATTTATCAATATATCCATGGAATATTGACATTTTAGATTGTTTTTAAAGCAACAAATGTACAAAATGTACAGACTAGAAATATTATCGTTTTTAGCAAAACGATAATATTACTAGCCCATTTGTATGCAAAAAGAAAACTATTTAAATCTTTATAAAAGAGTATACCATTAATTAAATATAACACCATTATTTCCGCCCATATACTAATTAATTACATACTTAATTGTGTTCGTTAATAAATTATTATAAATAAATGTGGATTTGAGTTAGAAATCAATATAATAATAAGTTATCAAATTAAAGTCTCTGTTGTTATAAATAAGCATTTATTAAAAAATGAAATATCATTTTTAAGGTGTTACTTTTTATCACACTGTCTAATGCCCATACAAAATTCAGTTTTTAGTATTTGGAGCAATTATTATTAATCAACGCAGTCAGTTAATGTAGTTTGAATACTGGAATCATATTAATTGATCCTCTTTAACAAATATTTAAACAGTTTTTTTATTTTTTAATGAAATAAACGAATTATATCGACAATATTAGTATCTGTACTCTTTAAAAATTTGGGACATCTTTAAAAATAATCTAAAATGTCAATAGTCCATGGGTATATTGATAAATAAGTTCTAAATTACAAGAAAATGCATTTTCTACGGAAACTTAAAGAGATAGGTAAAAAATGGTATAATGTAATTTGATAGACAATTAAATTGTGCATCTGATTCTCGTAAAATATACAGGGTGTTCCATTTAAATTAAACAAGTTATTGCCGTTTGAAGCTAATAATTATTTAAAATAAATTTTTAGACACTCTGTATAAGGTAATATTATTTTTATTATTGCAACACAATAACTGATCAGTAAATAAACTTCAGTAAATATTTAGTATTAAAAACTTTGATACCCTTGGAGAAATGAAGCCTTAAAATTTTTACTGCAATTTTACAAAATTGAAAATATTTCAAAAACGGTAAGGTTTAAGTATAATAAACCTTAATCAAATTTACCTTTATTTTAATCGTAGAAACTAAAAATGTAATAATATACAGGGTGTTCCGTTTAAAAAAATACAACTTTGATATTTTTTACTTATTTGGGACACTCTTATCAAATTGTACCTCTAATAGTCCTTCATCGAACCCAAAACTTACAATTTGTAAAAATCTCATCGTTTAGCTACAATACTCCGTGTCGTATGTGGTGAACAACCCTGAATACTAGTTGTTTTCGATATTCTCCGATGGTGGCAGCACCGGCAATAAAAAGAATATTTTAATACAACGTAGGTTTCTTTATTTCATTTAAATTGTTTGTTATACAGTTGGCCAAAATATTACCTCTTCGAACGACCTGGTCGTTATACTACACGTTTTTCCTCAGATTTTCCTTTATATGAGAATTTCAAAAATTCGATAATTTATTTATACAGAGTGTCTTAAAACTGAATGTCTCGGATCTAAAGAAATATATTTTTTTAAACTTTTTTTATTTATTTCAAAACCCCAGTTGTATAAACAAAAATCGATAACTCCGCCATGTTTCTTTTATCGTGTTTCCTTTACTGTCACGTAATTTAAGTTGGCGCTGCCGTAGTAAACTTTATTTTTACAGCTGCTTCAATTTGTTCTTAACTTTGTTTCAGGACGGTGCGGCCACGGCAGTCCCTGCGAGCAAATATGTTTCGAACTTCACGACGGGATGTACGAGTGCGACTGCAGGGACGGCTTTATTCTGCGAGACGACGGATACAGTTGTGCGGGTAAGGAAATAATACCAATAAATATTTTGGAAAATTGTAACTAAAGTTATTTTATAGTCTTTGAATTGTGTCCGTACAGGAGGAAAACCTTTTTTTTTTGCTAACATTTTTTTTGAAAAATGCATTCTTCAATAAAATTTTTGCTTGTTCTAAAATGGTTAATTCCGTTTATATTTTTCCAAATTTCCATAACATTTTCGAGAAAATTCAAAAGTAACATGAAAGTACAGTTGAAGTTTTTCTTAAACGTCAAAACGCGTTTCTATGTATGGTAATATAATTTCGTTTTCATTCTTTGATAGATTGTTATTGATAAAATTTTAATTAATGTCATATTTTTTGCTATTTTAAAAATAATGTTAAAGGCGCACAATAATTATACAGGGTGGCCCATCGAAAACGTTCTGCAAGGTATAACGGCCAGGGTATTTCTTTTTTCAAAAAATTCAAAAACACTTCAATTTTGTATGTGAGGGGGACAACTTTTGCCCCAAAAATGATTGGAAAATCTTCAACCCTCTGAACGGGGGTGTCATCCCCCAACTTTTTTCAAATGGGAAGGGGGGTCAAGTGGTACCGCAATGAAAAGAGCTTTCTATTCTCTATATTTTCCCGCTTCGTTTTTGAAAATCGGTCGAGTCATTGAGAAAATATGAAGGATTGAAATTTGAAAAGTTTATTTAAACATTTATCAGAATAAATGATAAGAATAAATTCCTTCCACCAATTTGCTGTTTTTTCTTATTATTTCTAGATGTTTACGCATTTTTTCACTTGCCACAAGGTTGAACGATCAGGTGCGGTCTCAATATCGTTAAACCACAGCTTAAGTAAAAACCAGCTCGGACAGTGTAGCGTGCCGCTTTAATGTTTTTACGCTCGGATTTGCGATTCGAAAGAGGGGGAACACTGGAGCGGCGAGCTCTCTCCCCAAAACCAATAGCCGCGTAAGCGCCAGTCAGCCCAGAGATGTATTCAAAAAAAATTTACACGTGACGTAAAAAATTATTCGACTGGTGCTAGAACATAATTTAGATACACGTTTTTTAAATTGTTGACTTTAAATAAATATGCATTCTCAAAGAAAAACATTTAAAAAACAAATTAATTAATTTATTTCTAGAAATAACAGCAAAATGAAATAGGTACATTGATTACTTATAGTTATTTACGAATGTTTCTAAATTAGGAGCTTTCGGTTTTTGTTTGCTACATTTAAGTTCTTATTAATATTCTTTAAGGTATAATAAATTCTAACTTTTGCGTATAATTTTAACAAAAAATACATTATAGGAAAATTTTGATTGATGGTTGAATTTAATTGTCTGAAATAATTTAACGAATTTACATAATATATTTTCATTTAAGGAAAGTTCTTAAAATTGTTCTGAAAAATTTTATAAAAAACTTTTTAAAAAACAAGTTTTTATTTAAATACACTAAAAAGAATAAAATAAACTTTTTCTTTAAATCTTTTTATTATGAACTTATAACGTCATTACACAATTTTAGTATTATATAAAAGCTTGTCGCGAGATTTGAGTGTACAGTTGCACTCATAAAATCTGGTACGACAACTTTATCTTGTAATTCCTGGTCTAGTGGTCTATCATAACACAAACTTTGAAAATGAGACAGGGTAGACACAGGTTTTAGTTAATTTACTTGTTTATCGATGTAGAGAAATCTCGCGACAAGCTTTTATATATCTAATATTAAAATTGTGTAATGACGTTCTAAGTTCATAATAAAAGTTTTAAAGAAAAAGAGTTTATTTTATTCTTTTAGTGTATTTAAATAAAAGCTTGTTTTTAAAAAGGTTTTTTATAAAATTTATTTTCTACTTTTTAGTTATGCTGGTTTCTCAGTGCCACACACTTAAACTCAATTTTTTCTTAAATAACTTTCTATGGGTATCCTAATAATATGTATATCGATTTTCATTAAAAAGGAGAACTTAAAAAAAACGACAGCTGTCAAATTTGACAGTTCAAATGTGAGACAAATAAAATGAAAGCCGACTATGGGGTAGGGGGCATCAATATATCGATTTTTATCAAAATCGGACAAATTTGAAATTATTTGACAGCTGTCACATTTGACAGCTCAAAATTTTTTCCTTTCATTTTAGCCCACGGCCATCATCGATTTTTATCAAAATCGGACAACTTTGAAATTTTTTTGACAACTGTCAAATTTGACAGCTCAACATTTTTTTTCATTTTCGCCCATGGCCGTCCTATATATCAATTTTTATCAAAATCGGACAACTTTGAAATTTTTTTGACAGCCCAAATTTTTTTTCTTTCATTTTAGCCCATGGCCATCCTATATATCAATTTTTATGAAAATCGGTTGACTTTGAAATTTTGACATGTCATTAAACTGTAATTTTTTCAAGATGGCCGCCCATATATTTTTTTTCATATGTATATACCCACAATATACCTATACAGGTTGTTAAATTGTTCATTACTCGCGGCAAGAGTTTTATGGTTGAAATAACCTCGGCCCGCTCGTCGATAGACGACGCGACGGGACGAGTCGGCAGAAAAATCAATAATGCATACGTTCTCAATAGGCCAGTGTTGCCATTCTGTTTCCCTATAAGTAACTGTCGAGTTAACAACCTGTATATATATATAATTTCAGCCCGATCCATTCATAAATAGAATTTTAAAAAATCAAAAACCTCAAAAATGCCGCCATTTTGACAGCTGTCAAAAATTCGGGTCATGCCTTGCAAAAAAATTTATTGTCATCGGGACTGACCCTACATGCCAAATTTCAATCTCCTACAATAAAAGGAAGTGGTTTTAATTTAGCTTACAAGATTTGCCCCGAACAAACATACATACATACATAGATAGTTACATACAAAGCAAGTTAAATAAAAGCTTATAAAAATAGCCTCCAATGAGGAAACTAAATAAAAAAATGGTCACTTGGCATTAGCAAGCCTCCAAATAAGTAGTCTTCATCGTTTTGAAAAGCTCTAAAGTGTGAATATACTTTTGAATTGAACATTAATTTTGAATTGAATTGAAAATTAAACAGACTATATTTTGAATTACTTCCATAATTATTTGTGCAACCAGCAGCCGCACATCCCGGAAAACCTTTTCCCATTCCATCAATAAAAATAAAATTGAAATAAAAGCACAAATACCTATGGTTAAATATAAGAAAAAAAATCGAATTAAAATCTTCCGTAATACGGCCCTACGCGCGACCGGTGGAAGCTATGCATCGACTGAATGAGGCTGACTGTCGGTCGCTTAATTCAGTTAGCGCATCGTCGGAGTGGGGCGTTTTAAATTCGAGCGTGGGAAAAATTGGCGAGTGTCAAAGCTATGTTATTCTGTAAGCTGTGGTTAAACTGACCCACAATAGAATTTCCAAAAATACCAGCCCGCGACGATCAAGATCATCTTCGTTGAGTTCTTGTACCAACTGAATTTTGTACGGGTGGAACTTGTGTGTTTTTTAATATCTTTTCGACACTTGTACGATTCACGCCGGTCTCATTGGCTAATTTTCTTGTACTCAGCGTACTATCCATGGCAACTTGGCCCAATACGAATACCTCCATAGCTTCATTTACCACAGGATTTTCCTTCTGCCTCTTTTTATTCAGGACGGAACCAGTTACACGAAATTTTGTTACTAATTCGCGAACAATTTTGCCATAAAGGTGTTTGTCAGGATGGCGTTCATTGAATATCTGCGCAACCGGATTGCCACATTCATTATTTTTAAAATAAAGTTCGATTATTTCCACTTTTTCTGCAAGTGATTACATCATAATTGTTAAAAAGTTTAACGATATTGAGAAGAACTTCAACGCACAAGTCACAGAACAGCTATCTAGCGACTACCGCACCTGATCGTTCAACCTTGTGGCAAGTGAAAACATTAATCAAACACATCTAGAAATAATAAGAAAAAAAACAGCAAATTGGTCGAAAGAATTTATCCTAATCATTTACTCTTGTTTAAATAAACTTTTCAAATTTCAATCCTTCATATTTTCTCAATGATTCTACCGATTTTCAAAAACGAAGCGGGAAAATATAGATAATAAAAAACTCTTTTCATTGCGGCGCCACTTGACCCCCCTTCCCATTTGAAAAAAGTTGGGGGATGACACCCCCGCTTAGAGGGTTGAAGATTTTGCAATCATTTTTGGGGCAAAAGTTGTCACAAACAACATTGACGTGTTTTTGGATTTTCTGAAAAAAATTACCCTGGCCGTTATGCCTTGCGGAACGTTTTCGATGGGCCACCCTGTATGTGTAACTAGTGCAAAAAGGACATATTTATTGCAAGACGCATGTGTTTTGCAGTTGGAGACGAAGTCGAGATTTGCAGTCATGCTGAGTGCAACAAATATGCTTTTTGCACATATTGCATACAACGTTTTTTTCTACGATCGAATTAAAATTCTTATTTAAATGTTTATTAAAAAGTTTTTACAGCAATTCAGTGACAATGACACACTAACAATGACACTATAAACAAATAATATTTATTTTATTTTTTTAATAACTTTTTTTGAGTTCATTTTAATTTTAATGTCGCAGTTTGAAAAATTTACTACTAAGGTAATTAATGGAAAAACTGCATTTCCAGTAGCCTCGGGTTCTAGTTCTTCATTTAAAACTCTTTTCCGGCATGTTGTTGCGAGGTGTTCAGTACTGGTACTTGGTTTACCTTCCACGATTTGACAATTTTTTACAAAAATTTACAATTGTTTTTTCTTTAGTAAACTCGTCAATAATTGGAGTTTTTTGCGTAGTAAAAAAATCGATTTTTACTACAGTAGATAGTGTAAAAAATAGCTACTTTTTGCATGATCATGGAAAAAACTATTTGGTTTAATTTTATTTTGCTACGGAAAGGGTGATAACAGGCGCGTGCGGTCCATGGAAGCGAGGGAAGCGGCGCGGCGCGGCGCTTCCCTATACGTTGAAACCAAGCTTTTAAATTAATAATTCATA